TGTCTCAGATGCTGGGCGGTGGAGCCGTCCGGTCGGAAGCAGAAGACACACGCCACTGGCGACGACGAGACGATCGTGCAGGAGGCCGCCGTCGACATTGCCCTCCAGCTTTTGACGGATGGCGAGGGGCTGCAGGCGCTGCACGCATCTGATGAACCGAGCGCAGAGAGTGACAATCGTCAGATCCGTGTTTTTTTGGTCTTGCGGTACATCTCTCCGCTCGCCACCTCACGCTCCGCCGTCCGGCCATGGATGGTTCGATGGAGCTCGCCGAGCTCCATCGAACCATCCAACTCCGGTCACCGAGTCTGAACGCGCTCAGCCTCAGGAGGTACCAAACCGCGCGAATTCTGCACGCCTCGCTGCACCGCTGGCTTGACTGAATCAGGCAGCAGCAGGCTGCTGCTGCTGCCACAGCAGCAGTCTGCTGCGGCCCTAATACGCAAGTTGATGACTAGCAGCACTGCCGGGGGCATTCGAGCCGCCACAGCCGGTGTGCGGCTGTGCACTGCCACCTGCCCGCGGCTACGCACAATGTGCGCTCGCATTGGATGAGCCCTGCTGATGGACCTGCATCGCCTAGCTGCACGAGAGCAATGCCGCAGGCAGTGGCCGTGGCATACACTGCGAGCACACTTGGTGCAGCTGCGAGGTGCAGCAAGAGCACGTCGTTCCTACCTCTGATGCCACTCTCGCGGCTTGCAGCGCGTCACTCGCGCATGCTCTCCAGGAGCTATGGCGGGCGCGTGTGTGGGGCTGTAGCCTGTGTTTGGCCGGTTCTGACCCGTTTACTATCCGAGTATCAAGTCCGGGCCACAAAAAATCGCACACGGGTAGCGGCTCAGGGGCCCAGTAAGTCGCGGAATCGCCAAATGTCACAACCTGCGCCACCCAGGGCTGGACCTAGTCGGGAAGAATCTTGGGAAGAAGCTCTCAGGCATTCTAAAAGCAAGTTGAAGCTCTCGTCGGGACAACTGAGAACTGTTGCGCCGCCGCACTCCAACGCAAAGCGCGCTCCAGGTGCAGACGAGCCGGAATGCGGTGCTGTCCTTTCGTACACGACTCCCCCCACTGCACAGGTACAGGTATGCCGACCCTGCCCTGCCCCACAGGTGCCCCACGTATTACGGTACATTCGAGAGACCCATCCCGCCACCCCACACCGAGCATGCCCCCGGAGCATGGCAGCGAATCGTCCATGTTCGTTCATCTCGCGACGGCCGCGCACAGTATGCGTCAGCGGAGAAGCCGAGATCGCCTCTCAATAGGAGTGCTAAGGTCGTTCCAGGGCACGGGCGGGGGCGCTGGCGAAGAACGCGAGGGCACACGCCCTACTCCGCGACGGCCGCGAGGGCCGCGAGGTTTGCGAGGTCGGCGGGAGGGGCCCAGCCGCGGCGCCTCGCCGCGCCGCCGTCGGCGAGCTCGCCGACAGCCTCGCTCCAGCTGATGGATGCGGGGAGCGCGTTGCCGTCGAGCACGACGCCGTCCCGGTCGAAGACCTTCTTCCAGTCGGAGCCGAGGATGGAGAACTTCGCGGCAGAGATGGGGTGCATCATGTGGCGCGACACGTTCCACGCGGCGCGCACGATGAGCGGACCGTTGATGATGTACGTCTTGTGCATCGTCTCCGGGTAGTGTCCGGACAGCACCTCGGCCGTCTTCTTGAGCAGCACGCGGAATTCCTTCGTCAGGTGGTCCGAGTTGAGGCCTACGCGGGCACATGTCTGAGACGCGTCACGCACGTGGCCTGGACACGTCCTGGACACGTCCTCGGCCAGCTACTGCCTGCGCAGTCGATCACGACCACCGTCTTGTACGTCCGCTTGCCCAGCGCGCCGCAGTTTGCGATGTTGCACGCGCGCTTCGCCTCGGCGGCGTAGGTGACCTGAGAGAGGCGAGGAGGCGGGGAGGCGGGCGGGTGGCGCACAGAGGGCGGGCGAGTGTAGCGCAGCGGTGGCGGCCCGGCGGCGAGCGAATCTCCTTTCGTTCCCTCCGGCGCAGCGGGTGTGCTGTCTCTCCTCTGGTCACTGCCTCTCCTCCTCTCACTGCCTCTCCTCTGATCACGCCTCTCCTCCTCCCAGGCGCCTGCGTGATGATCGCGTCGAGCTCGAAGCTCTTGAAGAGCTTGGATACCTGTAGGAGGGGGAGGGAGGGGGTGTGAACAGCGTCTCTTCACACCTCTAGCTCTTGAAGAGCTTGGATACCTCGAGGAGGGGGAGGGAGGGGGGGGGAGAGGGCGGGCGCTTGGAGCGGTGGGAGAAGCGGTGGGAGGGAGGGGGTGCGTTGAGCCGGCCGAGCCATAGCCGAGGTGCAGCCGAGGTGCAGCCGAGGTGCAGCCGAGGTGCAGCCGAGGTGCAACCGAGGTGCAGCCGAGGTGCGGCCCGTCTCACCTTGAGCCGGCCGAGCCGCATCAGCTCGACGATGTGCCCCTGCTTGTCTCGCCCGACCGGCCCGCTCTGGTAGAGCTGCTCGAAGAGCGGGCGGTCCGCGGGAGGGGAGTCGAGCACCTGGGAGGGAGAGGGGGGGGGGGGGGAAGGGTCATCGGAGGGTCATGGGAGGGTCCTAGGGAG